GGAGCTCCTTCTCGAGGAGGGCAATGGTGAGCTCAGTGGGGCAACGAGCTAGGAAGTGGTCCCTGACAGCACGCAGTGTGTCAGGGAGGCGGGTGACTAGGTGGTAGAGAGTGAGCCAGAGTGGAGGGGGGTGCGTGGTAAGGAACTCAGCAGGCATGGCGGCACGGAAGCGGGCCTCACTAGTGCGGAGGTGCGTGATGAGGTCAGCGACTGTGTGAAAAGAGGCCAGGTCGGGAAACAGGTAGGGGAGGGAGAGACGGCCTAGTGCGGCAGAGGCAGGTGAGGAGTAGCGAGCACCTACAGCTGTGTACAGTGCATGTGCAGTCTTGTGCTGGCCAAAGTGCTCGCGTTCGTCTATCGGCAGGGAGTTGCGAATGGCGAAGCGAGCGTGGGCATCACGAGTCTGCCACTGTGAGCGAGCAGTGCTGTCAGCAGTAGCAGCAGGGGCAGTGACATGGCCTAGGGCGTGATTGTACAGTGAGATGTCATCCTTGGCTGTGAGCTGTAGGTAGAGGTGCAGGTCATCGAGCCAGGTGTCAAACTTCACAGGGCGGCCCTCAGCATCGAACACGAGAACCTGTGGGCTAGCCATAGGAACAGTAGAATAGCAGCAGTAGCAGTAACAGTAGCAGTAGCAGAAGCAGTAGCAGTAGCAGAAGCAGGTAGGACGAACCAGGTAGGGCAGGGCGGCGCGGCTCGGTTCAGGTCGGGTCGCGGCTCGGCTGGGTGGCGCGGCTCGGTTCAGGGCGCGCGGCTCGGCTCGGGGCGCGCGGCTCGGCTCGGGGCGCGCGGCTCGGGTCACGGCGGGGACGGGCCACCCGGTCTCCCTCGTGTGCTGCGGCGAGAACGGGCCGCCCGGGGCCTCTAGGTGGTGGGCACGGGGCCGATCGGGGCCTGAGCGGGGCTAGCGCGGGGCCAACCGGGGCCTTGACGGGGCCTGAACGGGACTAGCGCGGGGCCGACGGGGCCTGAGACGGGGCCGACGGGGCCTGAAACGGGGCTAGCGCGGGCCCGATCGGGGCCTGAATGGGGCTAGCGCGGGGCCGACGGGGCCTGAGAGGGGCTAGCGCGGGGCCGACGGGGCCTGAAACGGGGCTAGCGCGGGCCGACGGGGCCTGAGAGGGGCTAGCGCGGGGCCGACGGGGCGTGAAACGGGGCTAGCGCGGGCCGACGGAGCCTGAGAGGGGCTAGCGCGGGGCCGACGAGGCCTGAAACGGAGCTAGCGCGGGCCGACGGGGCCTGAGAGGGGCTAGCGCGGTGCCGACGGGGCCTAAGACAGGGCTAGCGCGGGCCGACGGGGCCTGAAATGGGGCTAGCGCGGGCCGACGGGGCCTGAGAGAGGCTAGCGCGGGGCCGGCGGGGCTTGAACGGGGCTAGCGCGAGGCCTGAACGGGGCCTTAAAGGGGCCGACGGGGCCTGAACGGGGCCGCTAAGGAGAGCGGGCGTGGGGCCAACGGGGCCTGAACAAAGCTAGCGCGGGGCCGTCAAGAGGGGCCTCTAGGGGCGTGATACGTCGAGGCGCCCTAGGGCATAGGTAGGTAGGTAGGTAGGTAGTTACGTAGTGGTGGGCCCTTAGAAAATTTCGGTCCTAGGAAGGACCTGCTCTATACCATGTTGGAATAACTGAACAGGAATGAATGAACTAACAGTGAAATGAGTACAAGTACCTAACCCTAGAATTGTGTACCCCATATAGGCTAACCCACTGTAGCCTAAACTAACACAACATATATATAATGTTTGACATTTTTTCCCATTGAAGCACGGAAGGGAACAACTGCAGGAAGAGCTTCCGTACGTGACTCACAACAACTGGATTAATTGGGTGATGAACGATGTAGCTAAACCGCCCTGGAAGATGAGCAAAAAGACCCACGCGTTTTGCCGGTCGGGAGCCTAAGGCCTGAATGACGATCGCTGTCCCGACCCCGACATCAACGCCCTTGGAGGCTGGGAGCAGGGCGAGATGCGAAAATCCTACGTCGTGGGAATCCCGTTTTGGCCTGTGTTGATGATGGCCGGATTCAGTGGGGAACCGGGAGATTACTACATTGGCAGAGCGCACGCCGAGCTGGATGACCCTGTCGAGTGGGAGAAGTTGCAGGCCCTCTTCAAGAAGTTCATCTTCCCGCGCCTCGAATCTCAGTTGGCAGAGGTATCCCTTAAGTAGCCAGCTTTTAGCTGTTGCCTGATTTTGTTACGCGTGTCAAAGCTCACTCAACTTTCTGTCCTATCATCTCAGGTCGATAAGTACAACAAAGACAATCCAGAGAAGATGCACCTCTCTGGCAAAAGGTTTTTGGAGGCTCTTGCGAACCCTGGGCGAGACATCGTGGCACAGGACCTTGCCATGTGGTGGTTCTATTGCCCCGATCACGACAAGTTGTTCGACGGTACAAGACGGCCATCCGAGTGCCAGCGCCACCCGTACACGGACATGAATCCGCTCTGCCGCCACCCATTGTTTCAGAAGTGGGCCATCAAAGTTGCAATCATGCACAAGAATGGCATTGAACTTCGTGAAGCCCGGGGCAGCTCTGCAGCCGCTATAAGTACAATAGTTCTCTGATTGGTACTTCCATTTCGGCAAATCTCTAACAATCTCTGAAAACCCTCGTCCGTTTTCCCGCAGGATGTGATCTACAAGCTGAACTCTACGCGAAAGTACCAAAAACTCCTCGTAGAAAACAGCTTGCTCCGGATCGATTGTGGTCAGAAGGATCACGAGATTGGAGAGCTCAAGAACAGGCTCGCTGCAAGCAAAGAGCGGGAGAAAAAAACAGCCGCTGAACTCGAGCAGCTCAAACAGGAGTTGGGTGCTCTGAAGGCGCATGCCCCGACCAATGCTAACGTAGAGGCTGCAGGTCCAGGGACGAGCGCGTCGGAAAAGGTGGAAGCTGGTGGAGGGGCTCCGAAGCTCGAGAAGCCACAAGTTACCACTCCGGTGCGGGCATTTTTCGACCTTGTCGTTAAACCTTGGCGGGACTCGAAGACGGTCGCTGAGGCATGGGAACCCTGGGTGAAGGTGACTTTTTTGATTGACGGAAAGACACTCCGCCAGCTGTCGTCCGAAAAGAGTTTCTACCCCACTTTCTCTTATATTGAGAAGGGTAAAAAGGATGACTTTGGCGACAAAAAAATGAAGCGAATGAGGAACGTGATGCTCACAGTCGAGAAGTACAGAGCTAATGAATCGGAGGAGGCCACCCGAGAAGCCATTGCAAAGATCCAGTTGGACGTGGTAGATCGGAGTTCGATCAGCGCTCTGGCAGATGGCGTGATTTTCGGAGACGAGCCACCACCAAAGAGGGATAATTCAGGCAAGGATATGACGACGGAGAACAAATGCCGCAGGGTCGGGTACCTCTTTTTCGCTGCCAAGATGGAAGGTGACGCGTGGGGAGAGACGATGTTTGGGAAAGATAATTGGAAGCAGATCAAGATCGAGGAGGCAAAGAAGCTGGCTAAACTGAAGAAGTAGTTCCCCAAGTTCGTTGCTTCCATTTTTGCCTGGTCATCCCTTTTTGGACCTCTTTTCTAATTTTCTCGACTTGGAACCATTGTTACCTTCTCGTCTACTGTGCTCTACACCGACCCCTAGTTCAGAGTTACATTTGTGTCTTCGGAACATTGTTGATTAGCGCCGGTTTTGGGTTAAAATTTAGACCATCAATTCCTACATTCCTACTTCGGAAACTAAGCATGACTAAGACTTTAGTACAGATTACTGCATTATAAAGTAGCAGGATTGTGCTCGAAACCATCAATCAGTTTATAGTGATAAACAACTAGTTGAAAATCATGGGGCACAATATATGCAGAGCACAATTCACTCACGGAAAAGCAACGGTTTAGACAACACTACGCTACAAAGCTCTAGCAAGCTCGAATGTGCGACCTCACCCTGGAGTACTCGTCTAAGTGAACCATGGGAATGTCTCGAAAATCAAAGCAAGTTGCATACTACAAGTCAAAGCTAGTCAAGTCTCTTCATTTGGATCCATCCATTAGAGTTTGATTTTTTTATGTTCCAAGGCATGATAATCGTGGGTTCGATGAAAACGTCACACAATATAATTCCTCTCTTCCTCACTAAACGTCACACGGCAGAGTTCTACTCGACCACCCAGCCGTGGGGACCACCCAGCTGACTCAGAACCCGACCTGGTGACGCAGCTGCTTGGGGACCACCTGCACTCGTGCATGTCGTTTCATTCATTACGATGTTGCGTATCAGTCCGATAATAATAATAAGAACTTAGCGCATCACAATAGCGAAAACATCTCCATCACAATCGCGATTGTACATATCGCATGCCACACGGTACACTAAATCCCCGACTCTCCAAACAAGCGACGCTGAGGCGAGGACGAAACCCCAACGAGCCTCACAACAGCGGTTTGGGACACGTCCGTGGCGAAAGTCCTGGTTCGCGTGAACCCGAACCGGTGGATGTTGCAGCCGTGGGTTCACGAGTGGGGAGGGGGTAAAAGGGGCCCGAGGCCGTCATTTCTCATTTGTGCAAGCGATTGTGATTTTTTGCAATCGATTCTCAACCTTCGCTTCTGCTCTCTAACTTCAACCTAGGTAAGCACCGGGGGCTTGGGCTAGGGGAAAGGTGTAGGAGGGTGGGCGGATTTTGTGTGCAAGGGGTGAGTGTGGATAGCTAGGTGGATTGTAGGGCCCGAGATTGTTGTGGTGTGCGGTGTGTTGAAATTTTGGTTTTTTGCGTAATTCGGGATTGTAGAAACAGTGCGGAGTGATCGGCGCGGTTTTGGTTTTTGTTTGCTGCTCATTTTCCGCGTCGTTGAACCCGTCATTTTTCGCGTAGTTGAACCCGTCATTTTTCGCGTCGTTCAACCCGGTCATGTTTCGCGTCGTTGAACCTCGTCATTTTTCGCGACCCTAAACCCAGTCACTGTGAGTTTGTGATACGAATGTTGCTCACCAGTCGGTCGCGTGTGCCATGATGAATTGTGCCGTTCACGTTTTCGGCAGGATGGCTCGTGATGCGCGAGCGTTGTCCGACCCCATCGGGTGCCTTAAGAAGTTTGACGTCGCAGTGGAGGCGGGCGGAGCCACCGTTGTCCTGGCCGCGGAAGACAAGTCCGTTCTCGCGGACGATAGCGCTGACTTCACCGCCGCAGTCCTCGATTTCGCGTACATGTAAGAGTGCGCTTCGTGTTTCATCTTCGATCGCGCGCCGGTATTGTTCTGACGGATCTAAGCTGCTCGTGTTTTTTGTTATGTTCTCAGTTTAGTGTTGGAGAAACACGGAGGTGATCGCCGCAAAACGACAAAGATTTATACGTCGGCGCAGCACGCAAAGTTTCTGGCATCCGACGCCCCAATACCCACCATGCTCAAGTCCGACCTCCTCGTTTTCCCCCTGTGGTCCAAGTACGGATTGGCCGCGATTTTCACAAGCAATGCGAAATGGAACTAGTGCAGTGCGTAACACTTTTTTCGCGTGGCCATGAGCAGGTCGGATATCAACGAGCCGCTGTGTAGCATTATCGTGTTTTTCAAGCCGAAAGACTTGCAGAACGAGGGCAGCGAGAGCTGCGCGACTTGACTCATCCATATTGACCCGGGGGTGGGACCTGACGAGCACGCCTCGAAGGTGGAGGAGATTGTCGTGTAAGAAAACTGTCACGTTTTTTTCGCATTCGGAGGGTTCGCGCTGTTTCCGACTTCTGACGCGTGGCCGTGCGATTTGGGTCGCAGGTGGTTCAAGTCCTCTTTCGAGACATATGCAAAACATGGTTCGTAGGAAATCAAACGCACTCATTGATTGCACATTTCTGCACGCCTCTGCGAAACTGACCTATCTTCTGTAAACGCGTGCAGGACCTAACCGCGATAGATGATTCGCGGTGTGGATCGGGCGTGAAGAGCGTCTACGGGTTCCAGCGCCTGCTTTCGGAATTCGTGACTCTGGCGAAGTATTCCGACGCTCCGGTCCGTGCCGTGGCGAACAAGAATCTGAAAGCAACTCGCGGCCAAATTCTGAAGCACGCGCAGGACCTCGCCATCAAAATGAGCATGTCCGACCAGGCACGCGGTCGAGGCCAGGCAGGAGGAGTCCGACGACGAGAAATATGAGGAAGCAGAGGGCGATCAAGAAACCGAGGGGGCGGGTGAAGGGGATGGCGATGGCAAGGACGGGGAGCAGCGAGACCGCAATGTTGCCGCTGCGGCTGCCACCTAGAAGGCTGCGGTTGACACTCACGATCGGACTGCCGCAGCAAAAACCGCGAAAACCAAGACCTTGGCCCAGCAACCTTCCGTGCCTCAGACGGAAGCGCAGCGTGCTGCTAGCGCGAACGTGGGAGTGGGCACAGGAACGCGAGATACTGGAGACGCGGATTCAAATGTGCCGCGCCACACGTTATCCGAGCTGCTGACCTGGCCAAAGTTGACGCTCGCGCACGAGGTTGTCCGGCTAGAAGGTGCTCTGGATGATTCGATTCAGGCTCAGTACGACGCGGATCACTCCCTCAAGCTTCAGCGCAATCGGATTCGCGGCCTTCTGAATGATCTTCAAGTCCAGAAGGACAATCTGGACGCAGCCATTACGAGGACGGGCAACATCGCAACGCGGATTCAGGAGGCGGAGGAAAAATGGGCGCGGACAGTCGAGGGCTTGGTCCAGGAGCTAAGGGTTGAGCGTGGGTCTGCGATTGTGCAGCGCGAGGCCGCGGACCGTACGCTCCGTAGGTTGGAGGACACGATGGTGGGACTGAAGGCTTTGATTGCGGATTCGATTTCGGATGCGGTGGCGCGAACGCGTTACGAGATGGCCCCGTGGGGAAGGATGGGGACGTTCGAGGCAGGTGTGGCGACTGCCGCGGACCGTGGAGGTGGAGGCATCAGGATGGTCACCGGACCCTTGCGCTTTGAAACCACAGAAGCAACGGGGAGCGAGGATCGCGGGGTGAAGAGGCCATCCGGGTTACCGACATCCCGTTCACCCTCGCCGCCCCCCAAGAAAGCAAAGGGATCGTCCGAGCAACCGGAGGCCCAAGAACCTGGCCGCGGGAGTTTGGCTCAGAAGTCCAAAGCCGCGGGTGCGACTGTCAAGAGGCCCTCGCCGATCCCGTCTGGCACTGGAGGGCCGCCAGCAGCTGGAGGTGCCGCGACCCAGCAGGCTGGTGTGCCTTTGCTGCATGGCACAGAGAAAATCCCTGACGCAGATGCTAAGGCAACGGAGGCCATGCAGAAGTGGTTGTCCATGGTTCAGCACCCGGAGAAGGCGGACGCGAAGGGAAGCGCGAAAGGAAAGGAGAAGGAGGATCCAAAATGGGGCATTGGTATACGGCGAAACTCGCGGGGCTTGTTCACCTCGGAGCTTCACCACTCGTCACGCTGGTACTTCGGTTCCCACGCCAAGCTCCCTACCGTGCGGTTTTTGTGCGCGGTGGCGATAGATGGTGTGGAATCAGCAGATTACCGAGGACAAGCTGGTTCTGACTGACGAGGAAAAAGAGGAGTGGACCTCTGATCTTGATGTGGCGAGGATTATGCCCCCTGGAGTTTTCGCGGTGCTTTATCTGCGAGGTATCTGCGCGAGCCCCGAAAAGTCCGTATAGTCTGGTATCAGTGGTTCACGATGTCATTATACAACACGTCTCTAATTTTATCACTGTCCCGCGTGCAGGTTTCGAGCTGTGATGAAACGATACAGGACTTTAAAGAATGAAAACGCGAAAGCGAGCGACGAGGTCGCATGCTTTGCTGCGGTTGGACTCGAGACCGTGGCGGACGATTCACCCGCGAAGGGCAAGAAGTTTGTGCACTCTGGTGCTGGGAGTGTGGCGTTTGTTTGCGCGGTTTCCTGGATGCAGTGTAAGGGATATGATCTAAAGAGCGCGGAAGCGAGCGCGAAACAGACCGCACTGCTTGCAGGAGCGAGTGATCTGAGCGTGGTTCTCTACCTCGCCGTTTGGAATTACATCGTCACGACAGCGAAGAAGGGACATGATGCTGCTAAGATCGAACTCCAGGTCGCGAAACATTTCGAGGTCGCGAAAAAAGCATCTGTCACGAAAAATGAGAAGAGCATCATTCACGAGCAGGTGGATGTGCTAAGAACCTGGGACTTCGACACAGATGCCGCAAAGAAGAGGCGGGCGCTGGGCTTGTATATCGAGTGCGGTGACGAATGCGCGAAGGCCAAGAATCGTGACGTTAGCCGGTCGCGTGTAAGAAAGAGTGCTGCGAAATCTGACGACGAAGGTGGCTCCCAGGCTGGAAAAAAGAGTGCCGCGAAATCGGACGACGAAGGTGGCTCCCAGGCTATTGAGCTTGACGACGATGAAACGGAGAAAATGTGATCGCGGCATGGTTTTGGCGTACGGGTGGTTGATTTTTTTCTTACTCTGAGTTCGCTTTTGTGTTTTTGTTTTTGAATCTGGTTGTGCTACACCTGTTTAGGTCTCAACGGGGGTTTTGTCGTGTTAAGTCTTGGTAGCAAACTCAATCATGATAGCAAAATCGTTTATTCCAGAGGGCAAAGAGAACACAACACAACACGAAACACAACAGCAGGGGACAGTCTAACAGTTGCGAAGTTTTGAGAAAACATAGTGTTCAGGTTTCGCGCAATCAAGATTCCCGCGGCCTTTTGTTAGACTCATTCGTGGGAGTGTCGTTTGCGTCGATCGTGTTAGTGTCGTTCGCGTTTCAGAACACGCGGAAGAGTATGACTCAAACCCTCTCTGCATGGCTCCAAACACACATTCCCGCTCATGCAAATTTCGCGTTGCGCGCGATTCAGCCATTGGATCACTTTGGGCTCGTTTCATGCCGTGCTTGTTGGTGCTCTGGCACATGGCCATCACTTTCATAACGACAAGTGGGACGAACGGGATTTGTGGCCCTGGCTTCCGTGCAGCTCGGCGGCTTTCCACCCCCTTTTCGCGCGATGTCGTCGTCGCCTGAATGCTGCTGCGAAATCAGCAAGCCATTTTACCTTTTCATCCGAACTCGCTGCGTGTCATTGTGCGACGCGCTAGTGGGCGACACGTGGCTTGAATGCTCGCGGGAAATAGTACTCTACATATGTATTTGATGCTCGCTAGATAGCTCTGTGAAGACGCGTGACCGGGCCAATGGCGCGCTTGAAGCGACTTCGTTACGTATGCACATCAGAGCGAGTTACCGACGTGCGAAAAAAAAGGGTTTATTCTTCAAACTAAACCTAATACCAAATATTGTTGAGCTTACGGTGCTCGCGACAAAACCAAACGAACAGAGGACTCTGCTGCGAGGATATTTGCCAAAGCGAGGCACTCTTACGGGTTGGGATAAGGTCAGGCCCGATAACATAGGTTCGCATATCCCGAACCTATGTCTTTTCGCTGAGGAGGGTGAGTGCAGAAACGCATATTTGGGGTTGCAGGTCGTCATTTTCCATTTGTGCATTCGCATCTCGCTTTTTTCTTCAGTTTCTCATCTCTCCTTCCCTTCAAGCAAGACTTCTTCAAGGTGAGAGATAGGACGGGGTTAAGGGAGGGGGGATTAGGGGATTGGGGAATAGGGATAGAAGGTAGGGGTCGTAGAATAGTTGGGAAGTGGTCCCCAAGCTAGAGTTGTTGTTGGTGTTACTACTAGCTCCGTTTCGCGGATTAGGGTTTACCGCGGTTTTGTGTCATTAATTTCAACTCAATAAAAGCGGGAAGCACAGCAGAGAATCAGCTTTGTGGCTTGGTTTTCGCGGCACCTATTATCCTAATGTTTTGTGTGACCAAAGTCTACGTGCGCAAGGCGCGAAGCGAATTCGAGAATTATAGTGGTATTAGTAGGAGCTTCGTTTGCGCTCCACGTACTACCCCTTTGTTTTGTGTCAGCAATTTCAACGTCCGGAACGTGCGAATCTCGTCTGAGAATAGGTGGTGTTAGTAGTCGCCCAACAGCCGAGCCGCCGAGCCGCCCAACCGCCGAGCCGCCAAGCCACCGTGCCGCCCAGCAACCGAGCCGCCGAGCCGCCCTGCCGTCAAGCCGCTACTGTTCCTACCGGCGCGCCCCGACCCTACTTCCTTGGACTAGTGAGATCACTCCCTGCTAGGCCCTAGCAGTCATGGCTACCCCCAGTGTCCTTACCTTTGATACTGAGGGTCGTGCAGTTGACTTTGAGGTCTGGGTCGATGACCTCCAGCTGTTCCTACAGTGCGATAGGGTAGACGGACTCTCCCTGTTCGATCTCACCTCTGGTGCCTCTCCTGCCCCGCCCGCTACTTCTGACAGCACTGTTCGCTCATAGTGGGCCACGCGCGATGCTGCTGCCCGTCTTGCTGTGCGTCGCCACTTACCGACCACTAAGCGTGCGCACTTTAGCCAGTACAAGAGTGCTAAGACCTTGTACGACGCTGTAGTTGCACGCTACTCTTCCCCTGCCACTACTGCGCTTAGCTGCCTCATGCTACCGTACCTATTCCCTGACCTTGCTGCCTTTCCCACAGTCGCTGACCTCATTACGCACCTTCGCACTAGCGACACTCGCTACCGCGCTGCGCTCCCTGCTGAGTTCTGTGCCAAGAACCCCCCCCCCCCCCCCCCATGTACATCACCCTCTACTACATAGTCACCCGGCTCCTTGACTCCCTTCGCTTAGTCAGGGACCACTTCCTCTCAGTTTGCCCCACCACACTCACCGTTGACCTCCTCGAGGAGCGCCTCCTTGCAGCAGAGAAGAGCATAGTCGTTGTAGGAGCCTCTCGTGGTGACCCTCGCACCCCCGTCTTTGAGGGGTGTTCTCCCTCCCCCCTCTTGCCCTCTGTTGCTTCTGCTGCTGCGGCCGACCTCGTTGGCTTCGAGTCGGTCGGCGCTGCGTCTGCCCCTAGCGGGAGACGCCGCACCGGCAAGGGCAAGGGGGGCAAGGGCGTTGGAGGGGCTGGCGGGGGCGGTGGAGGTGGTGGTGGAGGCACTGGAGGGGGTGGGTGTGAGGATCTAGGATCGAGCTCAGAAAAGAGAATTGTAATTGAATTGAATGATCACCTGGGTACAACATGAGGCTATATATAGGCTCGACACAAGGCAGGCAACCCAGGTGTTACGCGAATGTTCTGAGGGTCGCGAAGCGTCCCGAACAGAACCTTCCCGAACTCGATAGAAAGCAATTTGGTGGCGACCGAATAGCTTGAGTTCGGTGCACGTAACCTGGTTCGGTGCCTATAACTATAATAACTATAGTGTAGCAACGAACCTAGGAAATTAAGCAATTCATGCATGCAGAAAATAATCCTAAGCTAGGAATAGCGTAAGGAAATAATAGCAAGCATGAATAACAAGCATAAGCCGACGTACTCTCACACGTCCCCCCCTCAAAGCTAGGTGGCGTGAGATACACCCTGCTTGACAAGATAATCCTTGAGAGCACGGCGTGCGTTGCCCATATCAGCTTCTACAGCCCAATTGTCCTCAGTGGGGTCATAACCCTTCCAGCGTATCAGGAACTCGAGGGTCTTGCCGCCGCGGCGTCGATGAGAAAGAACGCGCTCCACTTTATATTCAGGTTCATCCTGGATGAGAACAGGAGGAGGTGGCGGAAGCTGCCGTCCCTGGAACTGTTGGCTGGGGTCCTTGTAGGGCTTCAGTAGCTGGACATGGAAAGCGTTGTGAAGCTTCCATGCATCTGGTAAGCGCAAGCGGAAAGTAACTGGTGTCACCTGTGTCTCAACGAGAAAAGGACCACAGAAGCGAGGCCGGAGTTTGGATGGAAGGTGAGACAGGTTCAAGTTGGGCGTGTCAAGAAGCACCTGATCTCCGACTGCTACTGAGTGATCTCGTCGCTGGCGATCGGCATACTGCTTCTGGGAGTTTTGCATCGTGGTGAGACGTCGCTGAGTCTTCTCCCATAGCTGCTGCATGGTGCTGACGAAGTCATGTGCGGCTTGGACGTGTGCCGGTGTGGTTGGCTGCTGTGGTGTAAGTGGTTCCCGTCCGTAACACAGGAAAGGAGTTTTCCCTGTGGCCGCATGAGACGCGTTGTTGTAAGCGAACTCTAGGGTCGGTAACTGTGTGTCCCAGTGGCTGACGTCGTCCTTGCAAGCTGTGCGCAGTAACTATTCAACCAGTTGATTGAGTCACTCTGTCTGTCCGTCAGTCTGGGGGTGGTATGCTGAAGACATTGCAAGCTTTGTCCCCAACAGTCCCATGAGCTCCTTCCAGAAATTACTCGTGAATTTGGGGTCTCTGTCTGAGATTAGTGTAGCGGGGATGCCGTGGATGGTGATGATGCGGTTGAAGAAGAGGCGAGCAGTTGCTTCAGTTGTAGCTGTGGCGTTGGTCGGTATAAACAGACCCATTTTAGAGAACTTGTCGATCACCACGAGTATAGCATCATGCCCTCGTGAGGTCGAAGGAAGTCCCGTGATGAAGTCGAGGCTAACGACTTGCCATGGCTGCTCCGGTACGGGTAGAGGCTGAAGTAACCCTGCTTTTTTCTGCTTGCTACTCTTCATCCGCTGGCACGTG